CTTTAAAGGACAAAAACTTTGTTCTGAATTTGTACATCATAATGCGGAAACGAGAGAGCTATTGTTGAGAAATGCATTCTAACCAGGAAAAGGGACCCCATATGCAGATATTTCATTACAAACGAGTATACCCCAAACATATTTTGGATGTTTCCTGAACTATGGGAGATATTAGGCAACCTTCCCGTTATTCATATATTACATGGAACCCCATAAAAGGGACCAAGTATTATTTTTACGGTTTAATTTTCTTATTTGCAGTCAGATCTTTGTCTAAAAGGGTCGTAAATTGAGCATTTTATGGTGCCTTGGGGGTCATTGATAATATTGGTACTCAGCTGTCAAGCTTCCTGTCCTTGCTCCAATTTATTTGAGAGTAGTTACAGCCTATCTTTTGTTTGCATACAATCTTCATCATACATTATGTGTGTATGTGTAGTCAAGGACGATAAAAAAGAGGCGGACACATTCTATTGAAGTTAACGACTGTGGTGCCTGGCGACTATAGATTAACTTGGAAAACATACACACAATTATCATTTCTGAGTTCATTACGCCCACCCTTTTTTCCTAAAGTCCACCACGTCAAGCGACAGCTCGCCACTTGCATCCATTGACTATCCGCGACTTTGACGCTGACGTCAGTCCACTTAGCGGGAGGCCTGGTCTCCACTCCGGCGTTTCCTAGCCAATCTGCCGTCAGTCCTTCAAGCGATGTAACCTGTACAATATCACGTCAGCCTGCAGATTTTGTGAGCTATGTTGGTAAGTCTAGAAGAACTACAATGACGTCATATTACATATTAAAAAAAGTGCTTTGAGTCTTTATAGAGGTACCTGTACAATTATATTTAAATCGAGATAAGTTGACCAGCTCACATTTGGGTTCCTAAATAAAGTTACCCTCCCATTAAATGAGTTTCATGTAGCGGTTCGGGTACGGATATGGCAAAACATTCGAGAGCACTAATCTTTATCTAGAAAACAAATATTCAGCAGGCTACATGACCGAGATAATAGTGTGTAACGCTACTATAAGGACTTAGCCTAAGAACACACGGCGCGATTTTCGCCCGCGGCCGCCGCGGTTGCGGGTTCACAGCCATTGTACATTATAGATATATAAGTGTAACAAAAATAGTGCACAATATTTTAGTAGGTCAATTAGTATGTGATAAACATCATTTTTTTATGAAAATATTTTATAAAAACTTATCAATTATTTTTAATAATAGAATTATTCATTTATTATTTTCATTGCTTTTTATGCCATCCTGCAATATGTACCTATTCGAAAAGCTCGGTAACCCGTAATATAAACGTCCGCGCGCATCCATACGGCTGGCGTTATGCGTAAAAACATAACAACAATTTTGCAAATGTGATGCTAAATTTAATTAAAATTTTTTTTTTAGGTAAACATAATCCTTATCATGTACTATATCACCTGTTAAAATATTGTGCACTATTTTTGTTAGACCTTATAAATGTAAATAACAAAGCACATTTCACGGCATGTTTTACGCCTGCAGCGGTTGCGAATGTTTGCGGTTCCCGCTGCACTGGTCTGTGACGGGTTGCACGCGCTCTGCGATCGGGTGGCGGGCGATTGCAATGAGACGGCCGCCCGTTCTGGGCATCAACTGATTGTTTATCCACCCGCCCGTCTTGCGATAATCACCCGCCAAATTTGCGGACGATAATTTCATTCGCGGCGGCTACGAAACCGCAGAAAAGTACAGGCTCGTGCGTTTCGAAAATTTCGCCTCCATTCCGCCACGCAGCGGGTGCTGAGAAAATCACGCCGTGAGTCCTTAGCCGTACTAGTACCACAGATGGGGCCCAATAGGGCCGATATCGATTCGGAGTCCCGGAAAACCTAACGGTTAACCGGGGCTCCGGCTCGACGTGCAGAAGAAGGAACGGGGTGGTTTTTAGTCAGTAAGACTCTGACACTCCCTCCCACCTCACCCAGGCGGGAGCAGTCATTCGATGATTTTCCCCCCTTAAAAAAAAGCCTTACTAGTACATAAAATGATGGTACTTGATTTGTACCAGATAACAATGAGTAGAATAGTTGGATCTATTATCACACGAGGAGTACAAAGACGTGTTTCTTCAGCTTGGATTCTTCAGAAGTAAATTAGTAAGTATAATAATTAGCTTTAATCATCACAATCGTGTATCTTATTAGTCTTAGTATTCTTACTTCTATATACATAAAAATGAAACCCGTTTCCCGTTATCACGCCACATCTTGAGAACGGCTAGACCGATTTGGCTGACTGTTTTTGTTTGTTATTGTCAGGGGAAGGTTCTTATGACAGAAAAAATACTGGAACGGGAGAAAACGAGACAGCGCGTACGAAGTCGAGGGCAGAAGCTAGTTATTTTATATTACAATACTTGAAGAACAGCACAAAAACCTTTTTGTTGGTAAACATAATCATTTAACAAGAGTTGCTGAGAGACACATGTTTTTGTAGACGAGGCATGTCTCTATTAACAGTTTGTCATGTCTTAGTTATAACTTTCTAGACAACGCATAAAACGAAGAAATATACCATTTACTAAACAACCCATTTATAAATTCTCGAAGTGTTATTATTTGTCTATTTCTCTGCAATCATTTAGATTTATGCATTGTCTCTGACGTCTGCAATTCGTTCGTCATTTCATTCCTAAAATGTTAGTTACGCACGATAAAATATCTTGGTAAGAGCGACTAGAAGCGAGCACTAAGGGTTCTGCATTATTTTTTCCAAATGTTTACTTAAAGTTTTCGATGCTTTACAGCACCATTTTTAATAATAGGTTAGTATCAATCACCTTAAAAAAATCCAATATCGTTACTAACGTATTTTTTAAACCGTTGCCCCACACTAGGAATTATTCCTATGTCGTAGGTACTTTTACAAACTTACAATATCACATACACAGACCCGAAGCAACAATTTGTTGACCACACAAAGAGTTGTTCCATGCGGGAATCGAACCAGCTTCACGTTGCGCGTCAGCCGGTTGCCCAGCCACCACGGCAACCACGCCAACAACGAGTAATAAAGCTGAAAAGTTTGTGTGCTTATTAATTTGTTTGAATGCTCTAATATCCGGAATTCCTGGTTTCAAATTGAATTATTCCTTTTGAATTGTATAGTCCACTTATCCGATAAATCTATTTCGATGCATCTCAAATATTTTCGTCCACTCAAACTAATAGACAAGAATATACCTACACAAACATTTATAGTTATAACTCATTCCATCAGTACTGTACCCCAAAGTAAGTCATTCACCTCACAGTACTCCATCTCATTCAAGCTCTCAGGTTTTCATTTTCCTTAAAATGGGTTCACGTTTCAAAGCGCCAATATTTTAGGCAAAAAATCTACTTTCAACTTGCACATAGTGCTGAAATGTGATCCGGGTGGTCCCAAAGGAGTTGTTCTGCCTTGTTGCTTTTTCTTTTTCTAGACTACACTTAAGACCTGAATATGAATAAGGTTTAATACAAAGAGACCTTGTTCTGTGTCCTGAATTTAATATTCAACTCAGTCTTTCAAAATTTAACAATAGTCTTGCTTTGGGTAGTGACCTCTTTATATCAGGCTATGTCCGATTAACATATTTCGTAAAGACGAGATGTCAATGTGCAAAATGAATATTTTCCCAAAATTAATTAATAAAGTGAAATCATTGCTTTATAAATCTCCATTTACAATTTGATAGTAATTAATTACCAAAATTTCTGTGTAGTAGGAACCCAGACAAACTTTTAATAAGTCTTAAAGGGCAAATACCTTTGACATCTTATATTAATTGGCGATCTTAATAAATATAATTGGTTGCTGAAGCCTTAAGTACCGGCCTACTCGAAAAATATTATATTTACTTTAATTATAGTAAGACCAACGACGATTCTGAATTTCTTTTCATTTTCCAGAAGGGTCCAATGTCTTTAGATTTTTAAATTTAATACTTTTGATGCACTACAAACAAATACTAATGTTCAGAAAATTATTTTCATCCCCTAACAATGTAATTGTAGTGTCTTTTATTATTTTAATTAATTACACGAAATATTTCAAAGTTAATTTTCTTTTTTTAAAAACGTTGCCCCACACTAGGATTTTCTCCTGTATCGTGGGTGCGTTTACAAACATACAAGTTCACATACACAACGACACCCAGACCCGAAACAACAATCTGTGGATCACATAAAGTGTTGTCTCGTGCGGGAATCGATCCCGCGACACGTTGCACGGCAGCCAGTTGCCCAGACACCGCACCAACCGTGCAGACTTTGTCAATTGATAAGACTAATGACTGTAGTTTCGATGAAGCAAAAAAATACCTCTTTTTAGGCGGTACGAAATTTGCAAGGTCAGCTATTTTATAATCACCAACCCGCATTGATCAAGCATGGTGATTAATGCCCAAAACTTCTCCGTGTGAAAAGAGGCCTTTTGTCAGTAGTGGCCACTTATAGGGTGTTGATGTGTGTAATGTGTTATAGACTGATGACTATTGATGAAGAGAAAGAGGTATGTAAGAATAGTAGCAATTGTCGTTGCATAGTCTCTGCCTACCCCCCATGGAAGACAGGCGTGAAGTTTTAATCCCTTCATATTAAAGTGATTGCATGTATTTGAAGAGACAAACACAAACATATCACTTGTTGATGTCGCGGAGAACCTAACGGGTAACCGGGGCTCCGGCTCGACGTGCAGGAGAAGGAACCGGGTGGTTTTAGTCAGTAAGAGTCTGACACTCCCTCCCGCCTCACCTAGGTGGGAGCAGTAATTCGATGATTCTCCCCCCTTAAAAAAAATCACTTGTTGATTCCCTTCATAAAGTGATTTCGTATTCAAAAGAGGTTTATTACTATTTGTCCAATACTGACCGTTTTTTTGACAATATGTCAAGTGAACGTTTAAAAAAGAACCTAACAATTTCGAGGTTATTCAACTGTCAAATCGTTTTATGTATTTTGTGATCGACGAACGAAAAAATCAACGAACCAAATATTAATTTATATGTTTGAATTGATTTTTTTATTGGCCACGTGACCGGGATTGTTAGATATTATATTATATGTATCAGAAAAAGATATCAAATGTTACGTTATGGTATTTACTGATTCTACACATTCGGGTTTCTGGATACACAGGTATTTGTAGCTGATGGATTTTTCGATTGATGTTAGCAGAATTTGCATGTAAAGGGGAATAATTTCACGTGTAGAATACATTTTAGAACGTGACCGGTATTTTCATGTTGCATAGAAATTTTGTACCACGCTTAGTCGTTCGTTAATCTAATTAACTTGTTAGTAAGTCTAGTAGATTGTAGTGGTTTGGTTGCATAACATTATCATATTATACATTTTAGTACGTGGAGCGGTAAACTTTACAAAACACACGTAGTTTGATCGCTGTGTTTTAGTTTGTAGGGAAGCTACGGAAACGCGATCTCAAACTTCGTTTCGTCAACATGACATGGATTATGAATATGTTGATTTTACTTATAAGGTAGATCCTCCCAATTGAATTAACGTTCAAGTTTAAATATGAACAGAATAAACCTAATACTGAACTCTTAACTAAACGTACTTGACTGATGTTGAAAAAAAAACAATATCTTGAAAATTATAACTTTACGAAGCTGGCCGACTGTACTCCCCGAGTGCTTTCATTGTTTCCATTATTTTATTTAAAACCTCACTGGTTTTTTAAAAGGTATATCAGTACATCTACTTAATATATATATCATTGACCATAAGGATTGTAGGTACCAGACGAGCACTAGAATTGATAACCTTAGTACCGCAGCCACCTACATTTTTATTGTAATTTCATCCTTACACCGGTCAAAAGTTACTTTAAAAAAGGTATTTATCGATATTCTCGCAAGCGTTTGTGTTTCCACATCTCTCGCGATACGATTTTCCTAAAATGTATTCTCGTGATTCTCTTTTCCTTAAGACTTAACGCTTGACAACTTCTTAGATCTAACGTAATACTTACATATATATACAGTGTATGTGATATACTGAACAGAGGTTCATATTTACCTATATTTTGCATATGAAAAACAAGTCGTGCCATAGTGATGATACGCCTACACTACCATTTTAATAACTTTCTCAGAAAACCTACAGGCTTACTTTATTACGTCTTAGTATGTCATCACGACTTTAATATAACCTTTCCAATTTGTTCTTAGTTGTATTGAACAGTCGAAGTGTGATTTTGTCGCACTTATTAGGAGAATATGTGAAACGAATGTCAGGTATGTATGACGTGATGGGAAGAAACACTAGGCATATTTTTTTTTCGACGGCGATCTCTCGCTTTCGATTCTAGTTCAGACTATGGGACAGAGCGAGGGGGACGGGGATGCTGTCTCTTCTTGCTGCGAAGCAGTCATAGGCTAAGGAGGCGGAGTGCGTGAGGGAACGAATCTCCTCTCGCCCCAGCCGTCGTGAGTGACATTCTGGGCCATCGGGGATCGCGAGAAGATCTCTGGCCACCGTAAGCACGGGCCTGCGGACGGCGTGCACGGGTGACTCGCACGCCGTCCAACCAGAACCATACCCGAGCGTACGGCGCGGATGATTTTTCCGCCTCAAAAAAAGCAAATTTATTCCAATCAAATAAATAGTTAGAGTTTATAACTTTTGAATGGAATCTATTCTGAAAAAGTTGACAATGGCCTTATTGTTTATATTAGAGTGCGTCAGATCTGACGAATGTGCTACTCGCGAGCCGTTTGCGAGCTGCCCGCGATCCACGCGAGTGCAAAAACGGCAATAGTTTGGTACCTACTCACTTTTAGTGCAAGTCATGCAAGTTTCAAATAAATAACAATTTTAAATGCACGCATGCAGCTCGCGACCTCTCACATTCACAGAACATTCGCCAGATGTAGAAAAACCCCCTTTTTTTAAGGGAAGAAAATCATCGAATGACTTCTCCCGCCTGGATGAGGCGGAAGGGAGTGTCAGACTCTTACTGACTAAAAACCACCCCGTTCCTTCTCCTGCACGTCGAGCCGGAGCCCCGGTTACCCGTTAGGTTCTCCGCGACGTGGAAGTACACCGGCCGGCCGCACACAGGCCGCACGTGGTGAAGATAAGATTTCAATGGTCTTAGGTTCATTTATGTTAGCTGAGCAAAGATTGATGGATACACTGACAATTTCCTAATACTCATATTTGCGACCACTCGACCTAGGCAGTTAATTTATCACGTTAACTTATATCCATATGAAATTGTTCCGCAAAATGATGAATTCCATTAGCATTCAGTGCGTGTTTAGCGTTCTGATCTACCCAAACGTGCTATTAATCTGTCCACTTCAAATTCCGATACCGTTAGTCTCGTATTGATTACTTTGTTAAAATTAATCGAATTTCTGGCTTTATCGGCAAATGGACAATGGATAGATTTGCTTTATTGAATTTGTAATTGTATTCTAATTTCAAAGTTATTGAGTTTATTTTTGAAAAGAAACTTCAGGGCAGATTCTGATAAAACCTAGAGTAAGCATATTTTGGTGCCTCTGTAATTTGGCCCCTAGGAATTAGTCTAGTTTTTCTTAGGGACTATATATACCTACGTCTCTGGTCCAGGAAAGATACTCTACTAGTTTTAAAATTTAAACTAAGACGAGACGGGTCATCCTTCTATAGACAACGACGATGGACGCTAGCGGAATATTAGCCTTTAATTACATCTCATCTGCAATATGCAATTAGAGACTTAATACGTTGGTATGTCACGCCGTACCGAAAATCCTCATAATTTCTTCATACAAAAGTAGTCTCTAAACATCGGAAATAAGGTATATAATGGAGTTAGTGGAGAACGGTCATCAGTGACCGGTTGGGGATTGAACAGGACAACAAAAGTTTCCTCTGCTATTCTATTATTTTACGTCGTACAAAAATATAGCAAATAATAGTCCATTTTTATCTTGAAATCGCGTTATGAGGTCGCACAAGTCATATTACATACGTCAAAATTGTCCGGATGGTCCAAGGTTGTTGAATCTGATATTCGTATACCGGGGCGCTTGGCTGGAAGGTTGCCAACTATTGCCAACTACACAACGTTCACCTAGCCAGAATAATTACTAGAAATTTTGATTTATTGCAATTAAGGAATTAGAAATTCAATTGAGAGTTTTTTCTATGTGACTGAAAAGCGATTGGTGTTTGAATTGGTCTCCTAAACTTTTATTGAACAATAGTTCTAAATTTTCAAGACCCATTAGACGTGTGCATTGTGACGTGTGTCATTAGCAGAGGTGTGAATTATGCCACTGTACAAT